CCCTGTGTGCTTAAGCCCCAGCCCCTGTCTGACCGCACACAATCTGGCTCCTCCTGCTCCTTCCTCCCAGCTTGGCCTGGAAGACCCCTCCCCCCAATACAGGCAGTTTCGATCCTTTCCCCCCTTCGGTCTGTGCCCAAAGGTCGCTTCTCTCTGCAGCCTTGTGGGTGTCTTTTTACGAATTGCAACTCCCTCCCTTTCCCTGTCCTGTTTTGTTCCATAGCTTTGAACTCTATCTGACACGCTTCGTATGTTTACTTCTTTCTATTGCTCCGCACCGGCCTCTGTGTCTGCTGTATCCTCAGTGCCTGGAACAGTGTCTGGCACACAGCAGGTGCTCACCGTACACGTTTCCCTGAAGGAGTCAATGACCAGGGGAGTAGCAGTGTCTGCCTCTTACAGAAGGGACCCTTGCACTGGAGTTCCTACCTTTTAGCAAAGGCTGCAGAGATTGCTCTCTGTTCCAAACTCACTCGCTTGCTCTCTCTCTCACACATACACACCCCCTCTATCTGGCTCCTGGCATGGTGGAAAGGGCCCAGGAAACAGAAATAGCAGGGGAGAAGCAGGCAAGCACCAGTTCATCACATTCACTATGCAAAATGCCCGGGTGCAGAAGACAGCCACAGTAACCATGTGAGTTTTCCTGTCACCACCGCTCGCTGCCCGTAAGGACCCTCCCTGGCCTGGCCCGGGATACACTGGTAGAGATCCCTGGAATTAATGTTACCGACATATGGAAGATTCTGGAAAGAATCTTCCCAGCTCTTTTGACCAGACTCAAAAACAGCCAGCCCAACTGTGACTCTAACCAAAATGCTGAAGTCGAATAGGGTCTCTGTAAGCGTGTTCCTTTAGATGCACCCTGAAAATGTATCTGGGCAGACTGAGCTTCCTTTCTGGAAGGACAGCGCCTGCTCATCTAGGGGTGGTGTCTTACTCCTGGTCCATCCTCTTTTCGTGTGACTTCCTCTCCTGCAAAAATGTGTGCCTCTAATAAGAACAGCCACTGGCTCTGGAGTGCTTCCCATGTGTGCGTCCCGAGGAACCACTGCCCGGTGAGGCCCCGGCGCCCTCCTCCTCCCTCCATCCCCAGCAGGATGTGCAGTGGTTGGGAGCATGAGCTTTGGAAACAGGCCTGGATTTGGAATGGAACGGTACTGACTGCCTGACGTTCACTTGTGCAAATTCCTCAACTGCTCTACTTTGAGTTTTTCCCCCGCCAAATGGGGATGACAAGAGCTCTCCCACGGGGTCGTCATAATGGTGAAAATAAGGGCATGTGTCGAAATGCTGGTACATAGTAAATGCTCAGCCAATAGGAGCCTCTGTCATTGGGTTTCCATTGTGGCAGCCTGGGGGATGCTCTGGTTCCCTCAAGACTGTTCTGGGGTCCTATGGCGGGGCGGGGGGGTCTGGGTAATCCTGTCTAGTGAACAGAGAAAACGGTGTAGGCAGAACTTGTTCCAAACTCGTCATCACTCTGATCAGCATCTTCCTTGGCCTTGACTTCCATTTACTCCCGGAGGCTGACTAATGGCTATGTGGCCTCCTAAGCTAAAATATGGGGTCTCCTAACAGGACAGAGATAGATCAGGGGGCTTTGGTGGCTTCGAATCTTCCAATGTCTCACTTTTGCAATCCCATTAACCAAAAAACATCCCCTTGTTTAGGCTTGGTCTCAGAGGGTTTAATTACCTGTGCACCTGTGGATCTCATTCTAAAGCATCCTCACCCCCAACTCTCTGAATTTGGATGAGCCACCACTGAGGCCGGGGTGGGTGCACTTCTCTCCCCGTGATGCCTGAGGGGGCCTTTGAAATGGCAGACAGGGCTGGCGGCATCCAAGTATCCAAAGAAGGTTCCCGGCGCTGTTCAGAATAGGGACCGTCAACACACGATTCTCAGATAATCAGAGTCTGCTAGAAATACATGTGAAATTCAGTGATGCAAGCTGGAAGGACAATGGTATGACCTTCTAAAGGAGGCATTAGCTGCCCCGTCAGTTCTGAGCATCACGGTGGGGCCCCACGGTGGCCACCAGGAGGCCTAATGCCAATGCAGGAAGAAGAGAAAATGGGAATAAAGGAAGAGGTACCCAACAGGCAGTAGAGGTGAAGCAGAAAGAAATAAATAGAAAAACAAAAGGAAGGGCACAAAACACACGTGATGAACAATGGCCCCATGTTCGGCACCCCTGGGGGGTTCCCTGCCCATGGCGTAATTCAATGGGGCCGCTTTGCTGAACTTGGTACCACTCAGAGCTGAACTTAGGTTGCTCTGACGGAAGGGAGGATGGAGCTGGGCCCTTTCCCAGAGATCCAGGCTGTGCAGAGAGAAAGAATTCTGATATTAGAAGGAGATCCCCACTTCCAAAGCTCCCCCTCCAGCCCCAGTCTCCTGGCTCATGAAACTTTAGTCATTATCTCAGTAGGAAAAGCCACACAAGGTACATCCCTGGAGGAGAGAGGAGGTTTCAGAGGCCGTGAGAGGAAGGGAATGATAAAGAGAATATGGTGGGGGTGATGACCGGTGGGGGCGGTCAGGCCATGCACACACAGGAGGGCTGCATGAGACGCGGACAGGCTAACGGCAGGGAAATCAGCAGCAGCCACAGCAAAGCCCCACACCCTCGGCGGGACAGAGCCTCTTGGAATGACAGTGACCCAAAGGACAGGTAGGAATAGAGAATCACGTCTATGTTGCTCTGATGGAGGTCTATCTAGTTCCTTTGGGAGCAACCTGGTGTCCACCACCTGATAAATGCACAACCTGGCTCCCCTCTGGCTCGGGTCCCACGTCCTCTTACTCTCGTCCTTTCTACCCTGCTTCATTCACACCAGCCCCCTTCCTGCCTCTCGGCACCACGAGAAAGCCTGTACCTCAGGGCCGCTTTCCTGTCGCCTCTGCCTGGGATGCAGGTCTCTGCCCACTTACCACTGCCTCATCCAAGCTGCCTTTCCCTCCAAGACTGGCTCCCTGCCACAGCATTCCCTGCCTTGCACCTGCTTGGGGTTTTCCCCTTGCCCGCGTCGTCAAGAATTTATTTTGTCTGCTTCCCCCAGTGGAATAGGTGTTTCACACGAGCAGACTCCATTTTGCTTACTTCTGAGTATTGCTTAGCGCCGAGCAGGCCTCGTGAAATATTTGTTGAATGAATGTATGAACCCCAAGCGGCAATGTTTACAACAATATACATATGGAGCTCTTTAGATTGAGCTATTTGGTGTTTCAGCGGCAAGAAGGGGTAGGGGAAAGGGTGGGAAGCCAACAACTGCAGTTGCGAAGGCTTGGTAAGTGCTGCCATGTTCTGTTTGAGAAATTCAGCTCTGTGGTTCTGCCCCATGGGTTGTAGGAGTGGGGAAGTCAACTTCCAAGATGGCCCCCAGGGATCCCTGGCACCTGATATTACCGACCTTGTGTAGTTCCTTCCCATCTGGAATAAAGCTGACTTGTGTCACCAGTAAGATACTGAGCAAATGACAGCGTGTCACCAACAGGCTTGGTCATAAGAGACATCCGGGCTTCTTTCTTTCTTTTCCTTGGATCACCCCCTCTGGGGAAGCCCAGCCACCACGCTGTGAGGACACGCAAGTAGCCCACGGAGGGGGCGGGGAGGGGAACGGAGGCTTCCTGCCAACAGCCAGCATGATGTGCGTGAACGATCTTGGAAGCCGGTCCTCCACCCCAGTCAAGCCTTCAGATGATGCAGTCCCTGCTACAATGTGGACTGCAACCTCATGAGAGACCCCAACCCAGAAGCATTTAGCTCAGCTGCTCCCGAATTCCTGGCCCGCCAAAACTATGCCAGATAATACATTTGTTCGGCATTGTTTTAAAATGCAACATTTTAGATCCGTATAATTTGTTGCAGAGCAGATGACGTGGGGGTGGGGGCTGGCCGTCCTAGCTTTGAGCTGATACGCGTTGTGTCTTTCGCTGGTTCACCGTGCAGCCCAACTCCCCTTCTGGTCCCAATTTGATTCTGCAACTTCGAGTAGCCATAAATGCCACCTGTATCCTCAATAAACTTTATTTAGACACAAAGAGACACAACAGAAAATACATACACAGATACAGGTATATATATGTATATATATATTTGTCTCTATAGGATGAACAGACATCACACAGGGAATTTAAAAAGTAGTTGCATGGAATGTAAGAAAAAATTGCAAAGTTCCTTGGTCGCTCACACTTAAAACAGACACATATTTCAGAGGCAGACAGGGATAGAGCATCCCTACAACAGAATTCACAGTTGATCTATAACAATACACAGGTGTTAGGAGGGTGGTCAGGAGTCAGGGATCCAGTTACTCTTCATATGACAGAATGCTCACAACACTAGGAGGACTCTGTTTAAACAAAAGACAGAATCGAGGATTCCATATCCCCTCCCCCCCCCCCCCCCGCCACAGATGCTCTGCAAGCTGTCAGCTAGGGCAAAAAGCAGCTCAGCAGAAATGCCACGTACATGTTCGTCTTGAGGCTTCAAGGTCTGTATAACCTCTACCTTTGAGTCCACACCACAGAGAGTTTATACAGACACACTTAGGGACCCTGAAACTCTCGAACATGCACGCTGGCTCCAAAACCCATGGTATAGAACGTTGGCATCGGTTTATAAAATGTGGCTTTCAAACGGAAAAGGGGTAAGAGCCGAGAGGAGAACACACACTTTGCAGATGGTGCCCCGTCCACTAGCAGTTTCCTACCAGGCTGCCTGTGGTCCTTCCCACAGGGTCCCTGGCCTCTGGGACCCACTCCTCGCTGGGGCGGGGGGCGGGAGCGATGTCTCTGGCGAGTCTATGGCCCTCTAACGTCCCACCTGTGACCTGTCAAAAGCCACGTATGTCCCCAGGACCAGCTGCCGTGGTACCACCCCTTGCTTCTCCCTGTCCCGGACAAGCCTCTGGCCTCCACATCATCTTCACGTTTCAGAGCGGGGCTCCCCTAGGCAACCTGTGTGTTTTAGTAAAAAATGGTTTCCACTGTACCCTTCGTGTGTCCTCTTCCTAACGTGACAAATCCAGAGGAGATGAAGTTATGGAGATCGGGTCCTCCACTTCGGTAAGCATCCTTCCCATAATGTCCTGCAAGAAGACGGGGCAGAGTTATCTGGAAGACTCATAGCAGCAACAATAAGGCAAGCGAGGCAGCTCCCACTCACCCGGCCGGAGTGAGGAAGTCAGTGGCAAACCAGCAGCTAAGGCAGGAGGGAGAATCCGTCAAGAAAAAAAAATATATATATATATTATTTTATAAACACATATAATATAATATATATTACAAATATATATACCACATATATAAAAAGTATATATATCAGGTATATATACATGTACATGTGCGTATATATATATGTAGTTGCACAACAAAGACGAAAGTTCTGGAAAGGATACACAGAAAGCAAAGGGGAAAGGAGTACACGTGGCTTGATTTTGGCATTTCTGACCGAGCGCACCAGAACATCGGTGTCTCTGCCCCCACCATCCTGTCTGTTGCCCCAGCTTCTTCCAGCTTGCCTTACTCATTTGTTTTCTTTCTTTCCAGAGCATGGAGGCTGGGCTCTGTCTGGCCGGGGATGCTCTCTCTATGTGCCTTGTTGATAAGTCCCACCACATCCTATGGAGCTACAGCCTCGTGGCTTAGGAGAGATGCAGCGTCAGCCGACATAGGCGGGCAGAATGGCGGTTGTCCAACACTGGGGAAATATTTACTGCTTTCCTCTCTCGACTTTCCGCAATAAGCTCTTATTCCTTGTCGGCCTAATGTAGCCATCTACCCGTGGGGCTGGTCTGGGGAACGGTGAGTGTGGGCGAGGACCCTGGGAGAAGAAATTCAAAGAGAAAGCAAGTAACACTCTGCTTCTGACGTTCGAGATGGGATTTCACAATGCTCTTGAAATACAGGTAGGGTAAAGAAAAAAGGACTCCGTAAAGGCCATCCTGAGGCATAGACCTAGGAACATGGAGAAAAGCCGTCTTTTTGTTGTGTTGCTACAAGAGCGCATTAAAAACTACTTAGAGGGGCGCCTGGGTGGCTCAGTTGGTTAAGCGACTGCCTTTGGCTCAGGTCATGATCCTGGAGTCCCGGGATCGAGTCCCACATCGGGCTCCCTGCTCGGCGGGGAGTCTGCTTCTCCCTCTGACCCTGGTCCCTCTCGTGCTCTCTGGCTCTCATTCTCTCTCTCTCAAATAAATAAATAAAATCTTAAAAAAAAAAACTACTTAGAAGTAAGACAGTGTGCAGAATTATGCAGGATGTAAGGTTAGGTTAAAAAGTGGACAGAAAATGGGGCACCTGGGTGGCACAGTCAACTCTTGGTTTCAGCTCAGGTCATGATTCTCAAGGCCGTGAGATCGAGCCCCGCGTCGGGCTCTGTGCTGGGCATGGAAACTGCTTGAGATTCTCTCTTTCTCTCTCCCCCCAACTCTGCTCCTCCACCCCCTCTTCCCCTCTCTAAAAAAAAAAAAAAAAAGGTGGGCAGAAAATGCTATATTATATATAATCACAATGCTGTAAAGAAGTCAAAACAGAGCATTAAAAAAAAAAAGATTGAAAGAAAACACATCCAACTGCCAGTAAAAACACTGCCAACTGCCTTCAGATAATTAGAACTTGCATCTTACTTCTCTCCTTTCAGGGCTTCCATATTTTCCAAGTTGTTTTTCCTTTAGTAAGAATGTCTTCTTTATAATATAAATAAGTAAAATAAATTGCTAATGAAAAAAAAAGTATGGTAAATGTAAAGACAACCCAAATCACATCTTTTCTTAACAGGGCGCCCACTGCCTTGGTAGATCTCAAACACAGGTGCATACTGGAACCATCTAGAAGCTTCTAAAAATGCAAATGTCCAGACACAACTCTGGGGATTCTGATTCCGTTGATTGGGGTCTGAGCTTAGGCAATGTCATTTTTAAGAAGCTCTCTAGCTGAATCTAATGTGCCACCAGGAAAGAGAACCATTGCCCTAGGGTAAATGGAGAGATCACCTAGGTTCAGTTTATTCAGGTGGGTTCAAGGAACACTTGTTGGACCCTCGAGGGTGCTTGGCACCACCCACGAACTAGTAAGTTTTGGGTTCCAGAGTCCTCTCTTCCTTCCCTCTCGGCTGCTTCCTCCTCCTCCCATATCAACAGTCCTCAAACTTGAGTGTGCACCAGAAAAACCAGGAAGGCGTGTTAAAATAGACTGCCGGACCCACTCTCAGACTTTCTGATTCAGGACATCTAGGACCAGGGCTCAAGATTTTGCATTTCTATCAAGTCACCCAGTGATGCTGATGTGGTCGGGTCTAGGGACCAAACTCTGAGACCAACTGTCCTAGCGCAGGAGGAACTTGAGAGAATTTTGCCACCATTTCTGTCATGCCCTCCACTCTGGAAGAGATACTCGTTCCTCAGGGCGCACAGACTTCCACGAGGAGCTCTCTGGCTACAAAATACCGTGGCCATGACCCAGAATTCGACAGAATAGAATTATTGGAGCTAAGAGACGTCTTCCCAGATCCCAAGCCATGTCAGAGCTCCAGAAACCATCTCTAGCACCTGGAGCAATGAATCTTCATCAGGGATGAAGGGTTCGGGGGGGGAGGGGTGTGTGGAGGGGTGTGCTGCAGGGAGAGAGGGACCCCTATCCTGTAACATGGTCACTTTCTCCCCACCCCACCCCTAGCAATGGCCGGGCAGGAGAAGGAAGTCACAATTCAGAACTGTCATAAATTTGGACCTCATTAATTCAGAACCTGCGATGCATCCTGCAGAATTTGGGCTGGTTTATTTTTGTGCTCTTTTATAAATAAAATTTTTGATAAACAAATCAAAACCGAGGAAGATGGAGCATAAACAGTGCCTGTGTTACTTACAGATCATTCTTATCTGTCAGCTGGAACAAGGTCCCTCGAGACTGAACGTTGCCCTAGTGCCTTGGGGCTCTGCTTTGTTTAACGAGCAATGACAGTTTTCTGATCACCTACTATGTGCCAGGCAGAGAGACAGAGCCTCTGAACATACAGCCTAAGGACTGGTTTTGGGGTTTGTTTTTTTTTTACATCATAGTACCAAACATTTTATACCATAACACAGTGTAATAGAGATTTTTCAAAAGGACTATTATCTTAAAATTTTAATCACAACTGCATACACATGTTGTCTATTCTATTATGATGTCCCCATTTACTGATGGAAAAATGGAAGCCAGAGGAAGATGACAGACCCAATGGTAGCTTCCAGTTCCTCTCACTCCAAACCGCGTGTCCCTTCCATCATGCACACCTGGCTCCATGTACTCCCACAAGAGCCTTGTGAAAAGGTCACATTCCCCAAGTTCACGGAGCTAGTCAGTGGTAAATCCCCAAGCCCTGCCATCTTTGTATGTCACCTCACGGTCTGAATGGTCACAACAGTGCAGTTGTGACTCTTCTCTGGTGCTTAAACCCAGTGGAAACGCTACCTTGGGCGTGGTCTGCCTGGTGATGAGAAAGGTCATAGAAGCTGGAGCCCAGGTAGGTCAAGCTGCAACACTGAAGCTCTGAGTTGAGTAAAGGTAAAATATGCTGAGGGGTCAAGACCAAGGGCAGGTGGTGGGAATAAAGAATGCTATGGGGAGGAGTAGGAGACCTGGATTTCGTCTGGTCTCAGGAATCCAGCTGAATAGGGATC